CGGGGTGGGGCCCGGGCGGGAGCCGGCGCGACTGTGCGGCTACCTGCAGAAGCTGTCGGGCAAGGGCCCGCTGCGCGGCTACCGCAGCCGCTGGTTCGTGTTCGATGCCCGCCGCTGCTACCTCTACTACTTCAAGAGCCCGCAGGACGCGCTGCCCCTCGGCCACCTGGACATCGCCGACGCCTGCTTCAGCTACCAGGGCCCCGACGAGGCGGCCGAGCCCGGCGCCGAGCCTCCCGCGCACTTCCAAGTGCACAGCGCCGGAGCGGTCACGGTGCTCAAGGTGGGACCGCGCTCCCCGCAGCCCCTCCCGCCCCTCCTTAGCCTGCTGCTCTGCGCAGCCTGCCTCTGCCCACCAGACTTTCCACTCTCACTCGCCCCTCTCAAAGGCCTCCGTACATCCTGCTTTCCTGCCCCCACATCCCATCTCCATTTCCCCATGTCATGCTCTTCTTCTGGCTCTAGGCCAGCCGACCCCCTCCCTTCCGAAGACGCTTGGACCCGTGGGCCCCTCTGCCCTCCTCTGCCATAGCTGTTCTCTGAACCCTCCCCAGCTAACTGGACTGCAGCCTTCTACCAGGGGGCTTCGAAATGGAATGAAAAGATAGTGGCATTTTTTTATTGGCATTTAATTCATATGTCATACGATTCAACAGTTCCGTCCTAGTAAGAATTGTGCAGTCATGGCCTCAAGCAGTTTCAGAACACTTCTTCCTTGTAGTTATTGCTGTTAAGATCATGGACTTCCCCCCATACACTTTTTAAGCCCCCCCTAGCCTCGCCCTATCCTACTTCTAAGGGACTCCCTTTAGAAATCACTAGGTGTGACAACGTTGGGAAAGTTGTTTGACCTTTGTGACCTGGCCTGCCTCCTCTGAAAAATGGGTATGTAAAAACAAGAACCCAGTCTTTGAGTTGATGCTGACTCAGCGATTCCATAGAATTGGGTAAAACGGCTCATTTGGGTTTGGGGGACTTTACATCTCTGAGTGTGACAGCCCCATCTTTCTCCAAAGGAACTGCTGGTGGAATCCACCAGGGTTCATCTCTAAAATGGGTATAGTGATAGTACATGCCGGGACTTGGCGCAATGGCTAAGTGCTCAACTGCTAACCAAGGGTTTGGCTCTCAAAACCCCCCAGCCGCTCTGTGGGAGAAGACCACAGCCTAGAAAACTCTCTTTCGGCTCTGCCCCGTATGGTTCCTATGAGTAGGAATTGACTCTGTAGCCCCCAGCAACATCACTAGTCCATTCTGCTGTCTGGGGTTGCTGGGCTTAAATGAGTTACACAGCAAAGTGCTCAGTAATTGTGCTTAGTCCTGTAGACAGGGAGAGCTGGGGTGGCCGAGCCCCTAGAAAGAATCCACTGCAGTCTCCTGCAGTGTGGGCAGGGACCCTCTAAAGTCACACAGCCTGTAAGTGGCAGGGCCTGTCTTTTTTTGCTCCAGGCTTGGGCTGGGAGAGGGGGATGCCATCGCTTTAGCCAGCCATGCCTTACTCATTTCAGTATCTCCTAGCAGAGACACAGCTTGGAGGCTATGGTGTGGAAGCACTGGCCTAGAGTCAGGGGTCCTGGCCCTGAGAACCTCACCCCCTCCATCTTCTAGGTATCCTTTCTCTCCCAGCACCCAGGGGATCTGGGCCCTGGCAGAGAGATGGTTTGCCGCCCTCTTGGCCTTGCTCCCTGCCTGGTTCTTCTGAGTCTCCACCCTCACTCCTCACTCTCACTTCTCTTCCGTATTGCAAGCTGGGCTGGGATGTCTGAAAGCTCTCCCCGAACGGGCCAAGTGCAAAGCCGAGTGGCTGGAGCTGCTCCCCTGGGTCAGTTTGGGAGCTTGCCATTGGAGCTGGGCAGATTCCCATATCCTTTAGAGCGCCTCCATCCCCTAATCTCTAAATAGATGCAGATGGACCGTTTCTGCAAACAAAGCCAATCCAATTGAGGTTACAGCTCAGCCCAGCCTCACTTAGAGAGCATTTTGTACAAACTTGGGAAGGACCCCACTGAGCCCACCAGGACATCTGCCAAAGGCAGCACTGCTTGTCCTCCATGTACACGTGGACCCGTCCTGTGTCAGACGAATTTCCTGTGGAATTGTTTTGTTGACACAGAAAAAAGGCATTCTTTGTGTCTGATCTCTCAGGTGACATTGGGGCCCTCCGTCCGTGTTTTCATTGAAAATAAAATTTTTAAAAAGTGAGGCTATCGGCAGAGTTCCTCAGGGAGTGTGGCTGTACAGTTGTATGGGCGTGGGTTGCCTGAAAGGAGCAAGAAAAGCAAGGCTGCCGAATGATGACCTATAGAACGGGGACATTTATAGAAAGGTTAGGTAGGGCCTCCAAAACAGCCCTGCAGATCCTTTGAGGATCTGTGCTGTGCGGTGGGTGCAGAGGCCCGCATGAGGGCCAGGGATCCTGGGTTTCCTCCAGGGGATTGTGGTTGGGGATGGGTACCCAGGGCCTCCGACTGTCTTGGGAGTTTTATATTTTGGGTGGTCACGACATTATGTTCCATCTTTTTTGCCTTCAGAGTCTTTCTACCTGGAAGGAGGAACTCTGCCTTTTCTAAGGGTTGCCGACAACGGGATGTTTGGGTGTGTGAGTTAACTTAGTCATAGGGCAGGGCAGAGGACCTGACGTGAAGATGTTGGGTTTCAGTCTGAGGTTTAGCATTCAGCGATGCTTCGTGAGTGGCAGAAGTAAACATTTTGTGATGGGGACAAACGAAGCTCTCTGTGCCTGTAAAGATTCCAGCCTAGGCAGGCCCGTGGAACACTCTGTGTTGCCCCCATTACGTTGCTGTGACTCACAAGTCACCACCACCTCCAGTCCCACCACCAACCAAAGTGGAAATTCCCGATTTACTGTCTTCTCACCATTTAAGTTCAAGAACTGATTCCAATAAACGTTGTTTTTCACACTTTAGAGTGGCCCAGACATAGGAGAGAGCTGGCCTCTACAGGGCGCTATAGGTTAATGTGAAGGGCTCTAATGTAATTAGAGCTGTATGAAATAGGGGCTGTATGTAATTTTGCAGATACCATTTATTTCTTTTAACAGTTGGGTTAGGAAGACAAGGGAGAACATCAAGCAATCCACTTACTGTATTATCACCATCTGTTTCTAGTTTTAAAGTATCTCCCGGCCTTCTCTGGGGAAGCAGTGGTGGGGGTTTGTTAGGGTTGGAATTTTTAAAAAGATTTTATTGCTGCGTCTTAATGAAAGCCGATATTGGAATTTCTTGGTAAACTTCTTGGTTCCCAAACTTGGGGATCTGGTTCAGTTTCTTATTTTACAGATGAGGGAAAGGAGGCCAAAGAGGAGAAGTATTTGCCTGAGATCATGCAGTAAAAACTCAGACCCTCCCTGAAAGCAGAACCTCCCAGAACAGTCAGTGTCCCAAATGCAGCATTACCTGACTGTCCTCTCCTGCCAGGTCTACCTTTGGTGACCTTGGCTGGTGGCAGTTTTTGAGTAGCTGAGGTAGAGGATTTTCTTTTGACTGCCGTTGGTTTCTGCCCATTTTAAGCAGCAAGAAAGCACCAGGGGAATTTTACTGCTGATTTTTTTTCCAGGCTGGGTAGTACTTGTAGTGGGACATCAGAAAACTACTTTAAGGGGCAGGCAGAGGCAGATATTTCCTGTGTAGAGTGTGTGTGTGGTGGGGGGTGGGCGTGGGGGGAAGGGTAGCAGGCGGCTTCTGACTGAGCGTTCCTGGGATCTGAGGTGATGTGGCGTTTCGGAGCAGGCGTGCGTGTGACTGAGTGAGGAGGATACAGCCTGACTGGCCTTGCTCTACCACATCCCTGCAGTCCTGGAGCGAGGCAGTCATCAGACTGCCAGCAAGCATATTTCGAGCCCTCTGCCTCTTTTCTCGAAGGCTCTCGGTGTTCAAATGGACACGCGGATTAGATTTTGAGTTACACGTGTAACCTAAGAGTCACGTGTCCCCACTCTTAACCCACTTTTGTGGGAAGGCTGCACATTCTCTGGTGTTGAAACTCCTTTTGGCTTCATGACAAGCATTTGTGAGCTTGGGTAATCCTAGTGTGCTCAATACGGAATCGATGTGGTGAGCCAGCTCTCCGTGTGGTTCTTCTGCCCAGCCGCTCTGTCCCAGGGCATCTGCTCAGGGTCCTGAAGCACTGTTCACCACGTTTCAGGAGTTTGCCCTGGCTTCCCAGGAAGTCCGTTAAAGGCAGTTAAGGTATTAATCATATGACACCGTACAGGGTATGGCACATACTTCCTAAAGAATGCTGCTAGAACACTGTCACAAGTGGGTGGCTTCAGTGAACAGAACTTTCACTGTCTCACAGTTCACGAGGCTGACAGTCTGACTTCAGGGTGCTATTTCTAGGGATAAGACTGTGTCTGCTCAAGCGGAATGGGTGTTGTTTTTCTTTAGCTCTGTTCCTAAGCTCCATGGAGTTCATGTGGTGTGGATCTTCCTCTATGTCCGTGCTTGCTTGACTTGTCCGTTCATATCGCAAGATTGGCTGACAATGCTGACAGTGAAGAGGGCTTGCAGCACTTACAGATGTAGATCAAGGACTACAGCCTTCAGTATAAAATCTTCACAGTTGGCCTAAAAAGTGGTATCATAGGCTAGATTCTATAGAAAATTAAAACGAGTGAAACACACACACACACACACACACACACTTACATCCAGGAAATGGCTTATGCAGTTGTAGGGGACCACAAATCCCAAGTCCGTAGATGAGATGTCAAGCTAGAAACATCTCCCAAGATCAGCAGGTCAGATAATGGATTTCTGGCTTCAGAGGTGAACGGACCCAAGTTCAGCAGATAAGCTGACAACTCCCAGGATTAGCAGGCAATACGGCAGGCTGCTGGTGTAAATCCAGAGAATTGTAGGTTAGATAACTAGCCAGATACAAGATCTAGACCCACCAAAAGAAAGCAAACTTTTCCACAGCATCCACTTACTTTGGAAGCCGGCCACCCCTCTAAGGAGATCTCATCACAAGGGATTACTAAGTATTAACTGCCTGATCACTGAGAGTTCTGGCCCAGCCAAATTCATACAAAACCTTTTCTATCACACAGTGTCATGATAAATAGAAAAGATTGAAGTTGTCCATTTTTTCATCTTACTCGGATCAACAATCAATGCCCATGCAAGCGGCAGCCAAGAAATTAAACAGTGCGTTGCATGCGGTGAGTAGCTCTGCTGCAAGCGTCTTTAATGTGTTAAAGAACAGAGATGCTGCTTTGAGGACTAAGGTGCCCCTGACTCAAGCCATGGTATTTCCGAT